AGAGCTTATCACACCCGATCATCACATGGTGTCTCGGCACGATGAACTGTAGCAATGGTGCATACTAAGGGAGAACACTTATACCTTAAAATTTAGTAAGGGGTCATCTTATAATGATGCCGCCGTACTAAAAAAAATAAGATGCATAAAAGATAAACATCACATGCAATCAAAATATGTGACATGATATGGCCATCATCATCTTGAGCTTATGATCTCCATCACCGAAGCATCGTCATGATCTCCATCTTCACCGGCGTGACACCTTGATCTCCATCGTAGCATCGTTGTCGTCTCACCAACTATTGCTTCTACGACTATCGCTACCGCTTAGTGATAAAGTAAAATAATTACATGGAGATTGCATTGCATACAATAAAGCGACAACCATATGGCTCCTGCCAGTTGTCGATAACTCTGTTACAAAACATGATCATCTCATATAACAATTTATATCACATCATGTCTTGACCATATCACATCACAGCAAGCCCTACAAAAACAAGTTAGACGTCCTCTACTTTGTTGTTACAAGTTTTACATGTCTGCTACGGGCTTCTAGCAAGAATCGTACTTACCTACGCATCAAATCCACAACGATTTTTCATCAAGTGTGTTGTTTTAACCTTCAACAAGGACCGACCATAGTCAAACTAGATTCAACTAAAGTTGGAGAAACAGACACCCGCCAGCCACCTATGTGCAAAAGCACGTCAGTAGAACCAGTCTCATGAACGCGGTCATGTAATGTCGGTCCGGGCCGCTTCATCCAACAATACCGCTGAATCAAAGTAAGACGTTGGTGGTAAGTAGTATGACTATTATCGCCCACAACTCTTTGTGTTCTACTCATGCATAAAACATCTACGCATAGACCTGGCTCTGATGCCACTGTTGGGGAACGCAGTAATTTCAAAAAAAACCTACAATCACGCAAGATCTATCTAGGTGATGCATAGCAACGAGAGGGGAGAGTGTGTCCACGTACCCTCGTAGACCAAAAGTGGAAGCGTTTAATAACGCGGTTGATGTAGTTGAACTTCTTCGCGATCCAACCGATCAAGTACTGAACGTACGGCACCTCCGCGTTCAGCACATGTTCAGCTCGATGACGTCCCTCGTGCTCTTGATCTAGTTGAGGACGAGGGTGAGTTTCGTCAGCACGATGACGTGGCGCCGGTGATGATGATGCTACCGACGTAGGGCTTCACCTAAGCACTACGATGGTATGATCGAGGTGTGCAACTGTGGAGGGGGGGCACCACACACGGTTAAGAGAAACTTGTGTGTTCTAGGGTGCCCCCTGCCCCCGTATATAAAGAACGGAGGGGGAGACTGGCCGGCCCTAGGGGCACGCCCAAAGAGGGGGAGTCCTACTAGGACTTTCTAGTCCTAGTAGGATTCCCCTCCAAGGAAGAGGGGGAAGGAAGGGGAGGGAGAGGGAGTAGGAAAAGGGGGCGCCCCCCTTCCCTTGTCCAATTCGGACTCCAAGGAGGGCGCGCGGCCTGCCCTGGCTGCCCTCCTCTCTCTCCACTAAGGCCCATGGTGGCCCATTAGTTCCCCCGGGGGGTTCCGGTAACCCTCCGGCACTCCGTTTTTACCCGAAACAATCTGGAACACTTCCAGTGTCTGAATAACATGGTCCAATATATCAATATTTATGTCTCAACCATTTCGAGACTCCTCGTCATGTCCATGATCTCATCCGAGACACCGAACAAACTTCGGTCATCAAAAACACATAACCCATAATACATATCGTCATCAAACGTTAAGCGTGCGGACCCTACGGGTTCGAGAACTATGTAGACATGATCGAGACACATCTCCGATCAATAACCAATAGCGGAACCTGGATGCTCATATTGGCTCCTACATATTCTACGAAGATCTTTTATCGGTCAAACCGCATAACAATATATGTTGTTCCCTTTGTCATCGGTATGTTACTTGCCCGAGATTCGATCGTCGGTATCATCATACCTAGTTCAATCTCGTTACCGGCAAGTCTCTTTACTCGTTTCGTAATACGTCACCCTGCAACTAACTCATTAGTCACATTTCTTGCAAGGCTTATAGTGATGAGCATTACCGAGAGGGCCCAGAGATACCTCTCTGAAACACAGAGTGACAAATCCTAATCTCGATCTATGCCAACCCAACAAATACCTTCGGAGACACCTGTAGAGCATCTTTATAATCACCCATTTACATTGTGACGTTTGATAGCACACAAGGTGTTCCTCCGGTATTCGGGAGTTGCATAATCTCATAGTCTGAGGAACATGTATAAGTCATGAAGAAAGCAGTAGCAATGAAATTGTAACGGTCATAATGCTAGGCTAACGGATGGGTCATTGTCCATCACATCATTCTCCTAATGATGTGATCTCGTTCATCAAATGACAACACATGTCTATGGTTAGGAAACATAACCATCTTTGATTAACCAACTAGTCAAGTAGAGGCATACTAGGGACACTATGTTTTGTCTATGTATTCACACATGTACTAAGTTTCCGGTTAATGCAATTCTAGCATGAATAATAAACATTTATCATGAAATAAGGAAATAAATAATAACTTTATTATTGCCTCTAGGGCATATTTCCTTCAGTGACATCTTGCACGGTCATGTTAGAAAGGCATGTCTGAGGATAGCTTGTCAGCTATGTTAGCAACAACGTCGGTACCAAGAGCCGGGGACGAAGAGAACCATTTTCCTACTCGATCGCAAGGCGAGGCGGCCAATAGACAAAGTTCTCGTCCATCAGTGGTTACCGGAATGTTAACAACAATAGTAACAAGGTCTTACTGGCAAAGTTGTACTTGAGGGTGTTGACATAAGCAGGGAGTTATCACTGCTCAAATAAGTTAGATTAGTTAAACAAAAGAATGGAAAGGAAAATGTGATTATCAGATTAAACAGACCAATGAAAATAAAAGATGATTGTACACAAGTATTAGGTGTATATCCATGCCAAGGAAAGGCAGAGCATGATATATCTAACATGACAGCAAGTAGATAACCATTTAGGTAAAGGGGGAGGAAATTTATGATGTTACCCATACAATAATGTTTGAATAATTGATCAAGAAATATTTAGCATTGGCTTCGTTGGTATTTTCCCGAATAGGAGGGAGATGATGCAGTACAGTTCTTCGGGAGTACTCTTTCCGTTCCATAATGTAAGATATTTTTTGATAAAAAACATCTTACATTATGAGACGGAGGGAGTAATATAACTAATCCCATCGATTGAGATGGTACTTGCCTAATTTTTTCCATAGAAAAAAAATGAAAGTCAAACCTATAGATCAGTCAGCAATCTCGGCCACCCACTCTTCTGAGTTTCTCAAGGTGCCGCGGCTGCTCGCGCTCTGTACCTTCGCTTCCACGGTCGCCGCTCCCGGCCGCCGCCGCCACCACCACCGCGACCTCTGCGCCCATCACAGAAGCCAGCGGCTCCCGCTCTCCACTCCGGTGGCGTATAGCCGTCTCTCGCGTTCGCCGCTGCGGATTTGTTGATCTCGCCGGCGGCGGCGCTGGCCTGGCTTCCATCGAACAGGTATGGACTGTGAGATAGCTTGCTTGGTCTACTTTTCAACTTCTGCAGTGAAATTTGTTGGTGTTTTAGAAGTATGAGTGTGGTGGCGCCGCGGTGTGGTAAGTGATGTATTCCTGCACATAGATCTTGCTGGAAAAAAAAACAATTGTGTACGCGCTAGTCTGCTACCATCGTACTTTACCAGTCATAGTTGACATCATATAGATCTTACTGAAACTAAGGTGACAATAACAATAAAAGTACTAATAATTGTTTACCTGCTAGCCTGCTTCTTTTACAAGGAGATCTTATATAATATACTAAAAGCAATCTTATTTAATCAGTTGTTATAGTTGACAAGTTTCATGATGCAAAGTTGGTACGCGTATGCTTGCTTGGAGAATTTGACAAGTTTTGTATTCCACTGTTGTTCAACCCTCTGATCACTTTAATATATATACCTCGGTACTATGTACGCAAACCAATTAGTTTATCTTGATGATCAAGCACAACTTTTGTGTGTATATGCAGACAAGAACTGATCTTTATTTGGTTGCGGGGTACAACCAAATACTGGCTCATCCGACCCACTAGATTGGAGGCAGTTAACGATGCGTATATATTAGTGTGTCCTTAAACCACTGTCATATATGGGTATCCTATCTCACCTTGGAATTCCCTGGCCTTCAACAAGCACCATTATCTATCGACCAGGTTTCCAGACTAATTTGGAGCCCTACTATTTGCTGTTTCTTGTGCACGAACTGATGCTTTCAAAAGACATAAAGTAACTCCATCAATCATGCGACTGGACTCATAATTCCAGTTCCAGTAGACTTAGTCAGCTAGTGTAGCAACTCAAAGGTATTTTAAACCGTAATTTCAGATCTTTTATTCTAGCAATAATGATTCGACTGAAGCTGGTACAATCGGATAAATAGGATGGTCACCATTTATTCATGTATCTATGTACCAGGAGTTCATGTCGACAATAAATTTTGTCATTTGGGGAGTGATTGAATTCTGATAAAAATTGCAGATTTGCATGTTCATCTTGATTGACTGTGACTGGGTTTTCTTTTCTACTCCCTCAGTCCCAAAATTCTTGTCTTAGATTTGCCTAGATACGGATGTATCTAATACTAAAAGGTGACTTGATACATCCGTATTTAGACAAATCTAAAACAAGAATTTTGGGACGGAGGGAGTACTAAATTGTGAAATTGGGTACACATACTTTTGTAGCATTCTTGTGCATTTGGGTCGGTAATTGACACTTATGGAGTTACAGTCGCAATTATGGTTGTTATTCAGTATGATACCTACAGACCTACTCTCTTAGTGATGATGCATACATATATTGCCAGGTGTTTGCTTTGTCGTGCTGAAGCTTGGGGCCCTTTTCTGCAAACCTGGGCATTTTGGTAGCAACACTCATAAAACATCCAGCAGATGGTGAGCGCCTTGGCAGGGGTAATGACCTCTGTCATCGGCAAGCTCACCGCGCTGCTCGGGGAGGAGTATGCAAAGCTGAAGGGTGTGCATAGGGAGGTAGAGTTCATGAAAGATGAACTGAGCAGCATGAACGCCCTCCTTCAGAGACCGGCAGATGTGGACCGTGATATTGATGTGCAGACCAAGGAATGGAGGAACCAAGTCCGGGAGATGTCTTATGACATCGAGGATTGCATTGACGACTTTATGAAAAGCCTTGGCCAAACTGACATGTCTAAGGCTGTAGGTCTTGTCCAAAGTGTGCTCCAGCAGCTCAACGCACTGAGGGCACGCCATCAAATCTCCAGCCAAATCCAGGGACTTAAGGCGCGTGTTGAAGATGCAAGCAAGCGACGTATGAGGTATAAGCTTGATGAGCGCACCTTCGAGACTAGCACCTCAAGGGCCATTGACCCTCGTTTACCTTCACTCTATGCTGAACCGGATGGGCTTGTCGGTATTGACCAGCCAAGAGATGAGCTCATCAAGTGCCTAATGGAGGGTGTGGGTGCATCAGTGCAGCGGCTAAAGGTCATATCCATTGTGGGTTTTGGAGGTCTCGGTAAAACTACCCTTGCGAATGAGGTGTACTGTAAACTGGAAGGCCAGTTCCAGTGTCGAGCTTTTGTTTCATTGTCACAGCAACCAGATGTGAATAAGATCTTAAGAAATATACTCTCTCAAGTTTGCCCACAAGAGTTTCCTAGCACAGATATATGGGACGAGGGAAAGCTCATTGACGCAATCAGAGATGTTTTAAAGAACAAGAGGTACGTTCATGAACTTTGAATGAGAAATTGGCTGTTGGTACTGCATCATATTTTCTTCAATATTGATTTTTATTTAGTAGCCTTGTCATTCTACTACTTTCTACAATTGTTTAATTAACACACCTCTTAAACTATATATAGATGCTTTCGTTACATTCTGAACATATGCAGTTGTGAATAGTGTTGGTTCACAGTTTGTGTGGTTATATTTTTAGAGGCCTTAAAATGCTTACTTTACAATCGTAACCGCCTACACTAAATTGAGCTTCCGTGGTGTGGCCATACCATTGGGGAAGGGGATAATGGCTGTCCGTGATAATACATAGAAAAGAAATGCTTGTGTGTGTATTTTTGTCCATAATGTTTCCTTATTCATGAGAGATTTGCATGCACTTTGTAGGTACTTAGTCGTCATTGATGATATATGGAGTACTCAAGCTTGGAGGATTATCAAATGTTCCTTGTGTGTGAATGATCTGGGAAGCAGAATAATCACGACAACACGTAGTATTGATATAGCCAAGTCATGTTGCTCTCCTCACCATGATCGTGTCTATGAAATAATGCCTCTTACAACAGCTAAGTCTAAGAGTTTATTTTTCAAACGAATATTTGGCTCGGGAGATATATGTCCTCCTCGACTGGAGGAGGTCTCGTCGGAAATATTGAAAAAATGTGGTGGTTCTCCATTAGCGATTCTTACAATAGCAGGCTTATTGGCTAATAAAGGTAGTACAAATGAAGAATGGGAGTCGGTGTATAATTCAATCGGTTCGACATTGGAGAAGGATCCTGGTGTAGAAGAGATGAGAAGGATATTATCTTTTAGCTATGATGATCTTCCCCACCATTTGAAGACATGTTTGCTGTATCTAAGTGTATTTCCGGAGGATTATGAGATTGAGAAGGATCGATTGATAAGGAGGTGGATCGCTGAAGGATTCATTAATACTGATGGTGGGCAAGATTTGGAGGAGGTAGGAGAGTGCTATTTTAATGATCTTATTAATAGGAGCATGCTTCAGCCAGTGAAAATCCAATATGACGGTCGAGTCGATTCATGCCGAGTCCATGATATGATTCTTGATCTCCTTACATCTAAGTCAACTGAAGAAAACTTTGCCACCTTCTTTGGTGACCAAAAACAGAAATTCATGCTTCAGCATAAGATCCGCAGGCTATCCCTCAATTATTATTCCCAAGAGCACATCATGGTTCCATCAACAGCAATCATTTCTCATTGTCGATCACTCAGTATTGTTGGGTATGCTGAAAAGATGCCTTCACTTTCGAAGTTTCTATTTCTGCGAGTATTTGATATTGAAAATGGCGAGGAGATGGAGAGCAATTGCTTTGAACATGTGAGGAAGCTGTTTCAGTTGAAGTATTTACGACTCAATGTTAGAAGCATTTCTGCACTCCCTGAACAATTAGGAGAACTACAGCATTTGAGGACTCTGGATATGGGGTGTACGAAGATAAGGAAAATGCCCAAAAGCATTGTTCAGCTGCAACATTTAACATGTTTGCGTGTCAGTAATCTGGAATTACCCGAAGGAATTGGGAATCTGCAAGCCCTGCAGGAGCTATCAGACATCAAAGTCAACTGGGACAGCCTGGCATCTTGTTTGTTGGAGCTGGGCAATCTGACTAAACTGAGGATTCTTGGGCTATGCTGGTGCCTTGTTGATGTGCACAGCAATAAAGAAATTTTAATGGATAACTTGGTCTCATCGCTCTGCAGGCTGGGAAGACTCAACCTTCGATCCCTGAGTATTCAAAGCAACTACAGATATTCGCGCATAGATTTCTTGTTGGATTCTTGGTTCCCTTCCCCTTATCTCCTCCAGAAGTTTCAGATGGGCATGTTCTATTTCTTCCCCAGAGTGCCAGCTTGGGTTGCATCACTTAACAAGCTCACCTACCTGGATATCAATATTGATCCAGTAGAAGAGGGTGCACTGGAGATCCTTGGAGATTTGCCTGCTTTGCTGTTTCTATGGTTGACATCAAGATCAGCTGCTCCTGAGCAAAGGCTCATCGTAAGTAGCGACATGTTCATAAGCCTAAAGGAGTTCTACTTCACCTGTTGGAGCAATGGGGAAGGCCTGATGTTTGAATCTGGGGCCATGCCAGGGCTTGAGAAGCTGCGGCTTCCGTTTGATGCAGGCAGTGGTCTTGATTTTGGCATCCAGCACCTCTCTTCCCTCAGGCATCTTGCTGTTGAGATCATTTGCATCGGCGCGACGGTTCGGGATGTGGAGGCGTTGGAGGAGGCCATCAGGAACACGGCGGATCTCCTTCCGTACCACCCCACACTGGAAATACGAACGTGGGATGACGAACATATTGTGAAGGAGGAGCAAGGCAATGCCGAAGAGGAGATCCAGGCAAGCGGCTGAAAGTCAGTGTGCAGTGTATGTAAGCGTACACATCACATACCTCATTCGACAATTTTAAAAGTTTCCTTTTTACTCTTATATGATGCACATTTTGTACAAGTTTGCTTGGACTAAATCGCTTACGTATTTTGGTGTTGCAAAGTATTTAGCTACTTAGCGAGGTAGAAAAACAAGAATTCGAGCATATATCTCACAATATCTTGGTGAAGTGTAGTGTTGTTGATATGGGCCAAAGATGCAGAAGATATAGGAATTTTTCTTTTGGACGGCATGTGTTGCTAAGATTTTGCAAAGAGCGTTTTACCACTAGGCTACCATTTGGGGATGCCCTCCTTAAAAAAATTAGTGTTGCTAAGATTAACATTAAAGCTTAAAAAGGTTTGTTAGATTGTAGTGTTATTTGTCAAAAGATAAACATGCTACATAACACGGTTTGTGGAACAAACGTCTGCGTTATTTAGGAATCTAGCGTGTGAAAAATATTTAGATAATTACTAATCATGATTGATGTTGGTTGATGGTTGTCGAACACTAAATATTTGGTTTTGTGAATTATGCCCATGGGAAAAATTCAGAATATGGAGACTGTTGGAGCAGGTTTTTTGTCTCGAGTCTCTGCATTTTTCTTGGAATAGGAGGACTGCTGAAGATTTTCTTAGTAGCCATGCCTTTCCTCCGCATCCGCCTATTCTTTTTTTTCTTTTTCTTTTTGCGGGAACCGCCAGCCTATTCCACCTGGCTGTTGCTACACTAATTCTGGAACTGGAATTTATTCTAGCCGGCCTGACCTATATCTAGCATTGGTAGTCTTGAGTTATTAGTTTCAGACTTCTATATGTATAGGTGTACGGGCAGGGGGCAGGGGCTGCCATATTAGAACATGATAATCCTTTTTTCTTAAATTAGAACATGATAATCCTACATCAATGAACAACAACGGACCATTACTG